TCAGAATGTCGGATTACTGTCTTGTAATGATATCATTTAAGAAATATTTATTTATTTTTGGCTTTAGATTATATTTGCTAAAGTAAATTTCATTAAAGCTGTAACGTTACACTCTGATTATTTCCTAATGAATGTAAAAATAAAATATACTTTATGTATATATTAGGTTAAGTAAAAAGTCATCGCATTTTTTTAAAAGACATCTATCAGTAAAAACCACAATTACTTTCTTACCAACAATATAAATATATCTTAATAGAGTAAAGTTTCAGCTTTAAAAATCTCTTTTTTAAATTATACGATACGACAATTTTTAATGGAGTTATGAGCAATTAAAGTCAAAATAATTCTTTTATTTAATCCGCGATAGCTCAGTAATCAAAAGTCGTAGGAATATTTAAAAAAAACGATTTTGTAGGGAAAGTATCAAGCTTTCACGATAGGTAATCGAAAATTTTCTCAAATTCGTTTTGGACACGTTACAAATCCACAAAGTGAGAAGAAAATTTTTCGTCTTTTTCAGCTCGTAGTTTTTGGTATGTAAAAATTATCAAACTCATGTAAACTTAAAAAATGTGATAAGCTTTTAAAAGTAGAGATTTCAAGCTTTAAAACCCTTTTTTTAAATTTGAATTTCATTCATTATTGACGAAGATATTGTATATACAATACAACTTTGAGCTAAAAAATACGCGATGACTTTTTACTCAACCTAATATTTTACAATATACATATACATATACAATATATATATAAAATAATCTTGTATAAAAACTAAATGTTTAATATAGATATATTAAGACTTGATATTTCATTTTCTAATTAATTTGTGATAACCTGATGATAATGTAAAAATTGTATTTTTCTAGCTATGACTAAACTAAAAGTTTTGAATAACTTTTAAAATTATCACTTTAGTGTTTGATGATAGCTAGAAAAAAATGTCATAATTAAAAAACAAACCTAAAAGTTATTTTCGTGATTTATTATTTTGAAAAATGAATTATTGCATTAAAAAAAATTTTAAATCTTAATACATATTTCTTTGAATGGTACAATTGTAACTAAACATTTATTTACAGTGAATAAATATTTACGCAATTTAAAAAAGTAACCAATCAAATTAATGCACTTAAAGAAAAAAATCGTATCAGTAACTACTATAAATTTGTAGTTAAATAGCGTCTCAACTGTATATACATTATAAAATTCTAATAAGAATACTAAATTAAATGAAAAGTGAACTAAGAAAATATAGTAATATTAACCGTATAGTAATATTAATCAATTACAAATTATTAATGTTACTATATTTTCTTAGTTCACTTAATTTACTTATTGTTCTTATTAAAATTTTATAATACATAGTTACAAATGTTTGTATGCATTTTTCATTTTTTTTTTTTGTCTTTCAAGTTCTAACCCAATGCTGTGCTTTAAGCTGACAAGGGAAGATACCCAGATGTCCAATTAGTTTTGAAACAGTTAGAAATTATAGTATTCTACCTCCAGTTAACTAAAATAAGTACTATTCGCTCGGAAAATTTGATATTTGTTAGAGAAATGGATTCAAAGTCCGCTATAAGCGACTCCGAAAATAAGTTTAAATGACATTTTTTCGTAATTTTTTTTGGCCATCACAATTTCTATGACTACATCACAAGATATGGCCGCATAATTCGACTTTTCGTTCAGTTTTTAATTGTACGACCTATCAATTTTTTAATTATATTGTATAGATTATTATTACGATATTGAGAAGGATCCGTAGTAAGATCGAAACGTCTATCGTTATATTACTATATATATTAATTGAATAAATTTTTTACATGCGGACATCTCCAGTGTTCGGCTCTCATAGGCATTATAATTCTTTGATTAAAAATGTTTTATTGTAAGTTTCGTTTTTCTATAAGAAAAATTAGAAATACATTTGAAGCTACCAATGGAATTGAAACCCAAGTTTTCTTTTCTATTCCACTTACGTATATTACTCATACGTATATTACTCATATATAGAAAAAACCAAAAACTAAAAATTTACGAAAAAATTTCATTTGCCCATTTTCAGAGCAGACTTTAACTCCATTCTTCTAACAAATATCAAATTTTTCGAACAAATGGCACTAATTTTAATTAATAGAAGATAGGGTGCGATAGGATATTACAATTTCTAACTGTTACTTTTTCAAAACTTTTTTTGGGGTTAATTAGGTAACTTTTCTTGTGAGTGGTTTACTTCTTAGGAGAAATCACAAACTTTTATATATACTACTAGACTGTTAACTTGTTTAAAAAAGCCCCCAATTTAGATGTAACATTATACGCATGCGTCGAGAACCACTCCGCGTGATCGCGTGACGTATGTCTGCACATGCGCACACATCAGCACACTATTTTGACAGGTTAATCTATTTAACAGTATTAAAATCACCAAATACTTATTTTCATAATGCAGCTATTATAAATTATTTTAATTTATAAGAAATTAATCGCATAAAATCGCATATATATCTTTTATAGACATTTATTAATATTCAATTGTCTTTCCAATATCTTTACCTTTTTACTTAAACTCTTACTTTTCCAAAAGAAACAATATTTTTCGCTATGAAATCACATCACTTTCATAAGTTTATACTAGCATATACGTTTAGCATATGAACAGTTGATACAGATACAGCCATACTGCATTCCTTTGGGTATATTCGTGATGCATACGCAGAACTACCATACAATTTCGGGGTCCATTTCACATAAGCTTGTCCTAAGAAATTAAGCGGGAAGAACTGGCTCTTGCATAACGTATAACATATGAGACGTAAGAAGATGAACCAATCAAAGTTCTTTATTTCCTTCCTTTCCATGAAATAAAGGCCTGTGATTGGTTGATTTTCTTATGCTTCATGTTTCATGCAAAAGTCTGTGCTTCCCGCTTTAGCAGTCTAGAATAGTATATATATATATATATATATAGAAGTTTGTGGGAGAAACTAAACTCCGCTACATCCCTCTGGTGACAATGTCGCGTACTGCCGAGCGACTTTAGAAAAAAGGTTTTAAATGTATTCCTTAAAAGTTATCTCATAATAATTAATTAGTTACTATGACACAGAATGCTTTATTAAAAAAAAGTTTTTGTCTAAACTAGAAAAATGTTATTATTATATCTATTTGCACGAAGTCCAAGTAACTATTCAATGTAGTTGAATCACTATTTCACTATCAATTAATAGTATCTACAATATTGTTACCGACTATATTTTTTATTGCATTCAAAACTACTTTAATTGCTATAACTTTGTAAAATTAATTACAGGTACTTAATACAGGTACTAAATTGTAAAAGTTGTCAAATTTATAGTTGCCACAACTATTTTATTTTCTCTCAGTGTGGTTATCAAATAAATATATGTTTATATTTAAATATTTGCTTAGAATTATTCAAACAAATATTTATTAACACTTAGTTTTTTTTTAGTGTTTTTTCGAAATTCGGAGTCATAAATTCTAATAAATTCATAGACCTAATTGTAAATGATAAAATGCTAGTTGTCATGCAAACTTTTCAACAGCCATATTAGACGCTCTATTTTTTGCGTATATTTCCTAGAAAATTGTGACTTCGCGTGAGTCATTTCATTATTGTTTCATTATGTGATAATCCGTGAGCTGGCTGAACTTGTGTCCCTTCGATATATTTGCGAGTTCTGTCGTAATGTAATACGGTTTGATAATGTGTGATACTTTGTCCTTTTATATTTATAAATAATTCTTCTGGCATTTTATGTCAAATAAAAAAGTATTAACATAGTATTTCTCAATATTGTTTTAATATTTAATGACGTTTTTAACAATTAGATTTTTAATTCAAAAAAATTTATTTTAACTGAATTTCAACTAATAAATTAAATAGATATAACTCCATTTAGAAATTATATAAACAATATCAAACAATATTATGTCTAAACAAATCAGTTCGAGAAAAAGAAACAGAAATATTGCATAATTCTATATTTCCGCTGAATACTTGGTCTTGAACTTGCGTAGCCCAAAATGACCTAAATCTGTTAATCTAAATGGATTTGCATTACATTACCGTGCAAGACACAATCGCAGTATTTCTCATTACCGTACAGCCGTATTGAATAAAGAGAAAGGAAAAAAGGCACCTGACTCAATATCGTTGTTCGTCTAGATGCAGAGCCGATTGTGTCACAACAAAGCTAGATAATTGAAACGAATGACAGGACGCCTTGATCGAGTGTCAATTATTGAATATACATTCGCCATTACCGCGACTGAAGGTGCAAAAAAGCTCTGCGACTTGGCTAGCGCCGTATATCGTTCGTATTCTTCGAAGTGCTTCTCGTAGCCTCACGTGAAACGGTACGAGTTACATAACGGACCTGAGATGTTGCAAAATGTGCTTCTGACGCGATAAGAGCACGCGGGGTGTGTCGGATTTATTTAATATTAATGTAATTGTCTTCAAATCTATTATTATTTTTGAAGGGCCATGTAATAAAGCAAATAGCATAACAAATTACGAAATACTTTTACGGAATATTTTTTTATTTTTGTAATATTGCTTATCACTATATTACATTTTTTTAAATAGAGATTTGTAACATCGAATAACACCATTTTATAACACCTAAGAAGTTTCCTGTACTGTCAGCGAGCTGCACAACGCATCTCGGATGCTGGAAACGGTCGCATATGTATGACGACGATGCATCTGATGCAAATGATAAGAGAACGCATGCTGCATTTATTTCACGTTCTCACATCGACGTTTCGTCATCAATACTACGAGTTACAATTATCACTATAAAGACGTCGGCACTTTTGCAACGCATGCCGGAATGTAACACGATTCCTATTGACGTAATTGACACGTATCGATGTCAGTCCCGGTTGTTTTACAAGTATTCATTATTAATATTTTATTTCATGCGAGTCTTGTAAAATTCTCTCTAAAGAGGAAAATGAATAAATACATGATGTACGCATGTAAAAAGAAGTATTATATAATTGGACGTATACGTATGTATTTCGATTGCAAGCCGACACTTCAATATTGCTCCGAATTTCTTCTCTTTTCTCTTTTTCCATTTAAATTTTTGTTTTTGCACGCATATAATAGAGCGTCCCTGATATGAAGTCTCCTCTACTTACGTCTCTAGAGAAAGAGAGAGAATTAATTATTTATCTTTAATTGTGTGTGTGTAGTGTCGAGAAGATACATCATATACATACACACTTACATATCCCGACGATTACACTGTCTTCATATTGACGTGATCACTTTTTATTTAACCTTCGGTATCTTTGATTCTGAGAAAATATACATAATCCTCACTTATTTCATAATTTTTGCGATTTAGGAAAAATATGCAAGATCTCTTGCTCGTTCAATCAATTTTCTGATAAATGACTAATTATTTGTTTGTACAAATGTTAGATAAAATTCTAATAACAATTTAAATTACTACAAGAATCCTGTATAATGGCAGAAAAAAATCATCACGCTATAACGCACTTGCTAACGGAAGTGAAGTACCGCGCGGTTCCATTATCGTTGAAAATTTCATGCTGTGCAGACGAAATCCAGATGAGATCATAAGAGCTCCTGTTATAGACTTCCACACGTCACTCCGTGCTAGAAGATTCGGGGCTAATTATGCCAAATGTATATATATTCACATCCGTATTCGTATCTATAACGTATAGCCGTTGCTCTATACTTAGCACTCTCGCGGGTATAGAACGATTTGTTTACGATTTCTCTCAGTGAACAGCTGGCTTCACTAATGAAGATTTCAGCTTTATCTTAAGCGCTTTTTTATCTTCAGGTGAAAAATGAAAATCATTTTATTCGAAAAAATTAAGTAAACGATTAAAGGGATGCTGGAGCAACGGTCGAACTTGATCAAGGTCAATAGTGTACAGACTTTTAAATTGCAAATTCGATAATAGTGACATCTTTTATTCATTTCTTATATACCGTTGTGTCTTACTCAAACGCAATTATCTGTCCTTATTTAACATATTTCAACACTACGAGTATCTCTTGCAAGATCTAGCATCTATTGTTAGACATAGTTATTACTTTGTTTATTGATTTGTTTATCATTCCAGATCGTCGCTTAGCACTCATATACGTAATTTGTAGATTGATATAAATCATTCTTTTTAAGCTTTCAATCTTAACTTTATAAACTCATTGTTAGTACTGTTTGTATAAAACGCTAAACTATCATTTTGTTCATAGCTAATAAAACTTTTGTATTAAGGAAACATCTACGTCAGGTGACAATTTTATGAATTGAAAAAATGTAGTTTTTTCCTATTTTAGTATAAAGTCCACTCCAATCCACCATCACCAAATTTTGCGTCTATTTTAATCCTGTTAAAAAAGGATTTTTTATACCGTTCAGTAAATTCGGAGAATTATATCAATCTGCAATGTCTCCACAGTTTCTCAGTTTGGGTCACTCCAGCATTCCCTTAACTTCATAAAAAATTAAAAGTTGAATTATTTTGTTTTTTATTAAGGATGTATCAGAGTTTTATAATCTCTACAAAAAAAATGATAAATTAGAATTTCCAATTTATAATTTCTAGATAAAAATGAATATTATACGTATTTACAATTCAATGAGTAAGAGAGAGGGGGGGGGAGCAAAGGGAGGAGAAAGAAAGGGAAGGGTAGAGCAAGGAGAAAGAGAAGGGCAGGAGGGAGAGAGAGGGGGCGGAGGTCAATACTTATATTTAACAATATTATTTTATAATTTAAGTGAAAATTTTCGCATTACATTTAAATTATTTTTTAAAAACGTATCTACTTCTTATTGAAATAATATTTGAACTAGATTTTAAATATAACCGCTAAACTTTTTATATTATTTTCAAATAATATAAATAATATAAAATTTTAAATAATAATAAAATTCATAATGTAGAAAATCATTTTTTTATTTTCTTAAAAAATGTAATGTATTCTTAAATGCAAAACCTCAAATAGTATACTATTTGTTCCATTTTCTGAAACCATGATCCATATGTTAATTATGAGCAGAATGATATTATTTCAATCGATAGTATTTCGGTTAAACCGGAATGATTTCTTGATTAAGCATTATTATCTCTTATGTCAGAGTTTCCTCTATATGTATTTCCGATGTGATATCGAAGGATGAGTATGACGTCGGCGGAATTCTTGGAAATCTTGGGCTTGGACGCGTGGCTACTGCAAGACTGGCACTGTTTGCCATATTATTTCGGGAGAAAGCCCAAGTATTTTTGTTGCTAAACGCGAGAACAGATGTAGCAGCTTGGGCGAACGATGACTCTACTCTAGTATGCGGCATCAAGGACGATGAAGAGCGTGCCGAACATTGCTCTTGAAGGATCTACTCAACACTAGCTCGAGTACGCGCGTACTTAATACACAAGAGTGTTCTTGTTACTCTCGACAGCAACTTTGAAGGAGCGTTATCTCATGCACTATGTTTATTAGTTGAATATACGCCAATATACCTCCATATTTTTTTATGGCTTCTTAAAAATGAATGTCTACTTTTAATTAACACCTAAAATTTGCTTCTTTATTTACTTTCTTAAAAAATAAACTCTATCTCAGTACCACGTTTCTATAACTCTTAATAATAATTTGATATCATTACATTGTCTTGTTGCGCAATTTTTTTCATATATAATATCTACGCAACAATTATGGCCGGTTCCACCAATGCAATGTAAGATTAGCTTTCACTCGGTTCAACTTATTTTTTATCTTTTTCTAATTTTAATACCCCTTTCTACCAATATAGTTTAATTTTAATTTCGGTTCAACTAATTGTTTATTCTGAAAATTATAAAAAGATGAAGAGTAAGTTAAACTAAGATTAAAGTTAATCTACGTTAGTAGAAATGGGCCTCGATCTGTTTGCGTTGTGCTTTTCACATCCAAAATCTCTGCTTTCTTTTTTTTTTCAATGTCCGGATATGCATTTTTCTCATTTTAAATGCAAAAATTTTTATGGATTTTAAACATGGACAAAACTAATATAATGAGATATTGGTATTGTTGTTAAGAGTTACAGACTCGAAATACTGAAGTCATCTTTGAATGAACAATCATAAATTGTTAGCGTTTTCAGCATTTTCGATAAGCTCGTTATGGACGAAACGGAAGTGCAAATGCATTTTGCGATGCACAGTTGTTTTATTACCTGCTCGATTATTTTGGTTTAGAAACGGAATAAATGCGCCGCTTTCCGTGCGATCAATTGGCATTTATGCATAAATATTAAAAGTAATTGATTTCATAGACATACCATCTATAAAATTAATGAGAGACAGACGACCGCCTCTAGAAAACGGGACATCATACACTGTCGTTTGTCCATTGCGAGACATGTCCGATTACTGGCATACAAAATGTGATAGTTAACCTACACGTGGATGGATAAGTATGTGTTACAATCTTTTTCTATGACATGTTCGAGAATGAGGGTTACGTCTACTTAAGAGAATAATCTGACGAGTATATGCGCATGGATGTATGCGGCTGCTATTTCGATATGTATATTTTTGTTGTATTTATTGATTTAATTTATTCTCGCAATACTATTAATTTTTTTGTTAATTTTTTTATCCGTTTGCTTATTAATTTTGCAAATTATAATTTCAGTCATTTTATAATATTTTGTAATATTTATTATTTATTTATTTACATTGTAATTATAATAGTTGATTTAAAATATATATAACTCTTAAAATAACATTTTTTGTGCATTAAAAAAATATTTAAATTTTTTATGAGAAGGTAAAGAGAACTTGTTCGTGCAGAATGTTTACTAAAAAAAAACTTGAAATTTTTAGGAGACTTCTTTTTTATCCTTGAAGATGAGAGATTTTCATGGAACTTTATCAGCACACTCAGAAAAATTTTTGGAATTTTACTTACTTCTATCTCTTTCGGATTATATTGTCTTGCTAATGCAAAATGTTGACAATTGGTTAGCAATAAGTATGGCATACATATCCATGTATATTCACGATTATATTTGCATATCTCGCGAATTTAAAAAAAAAGACGAGATAACAGTATAAGACAATATTCAGCAAAAGAGAGTAGCTTACTAATATTATATTGTGAATGTTTTCACTGTTTTATAAGTTTCATTGGTCCAATTGAAAATATAGATATACAAATATCTCGTGGAATTTTTATCTTCTATTGTACTATATATATATAATTTAGTATATAATTTGTTTTCATTACTTGCACTCCAATTTACAATGTTTTTCAAGTTGCATTTAAAACATGGTTTAATTTTATCTGGAATTTTGAACAAAAATACCTGGAAAATCTGTTAATTCTCAGAGAAAGTTATTTTAAAGAATTTTCCAGTAAACACTCTGTTGTATTATTTTTAATACCCGAATAAGGATTAAATAATAATTAAATTCTAGTCTCAAAATGAGCACAATAATCTAGTGTTTTCCTACTTCCTTGATAACAGAATCAAGAAAATAGCGTGTTAGATAACGCGCGTCTAACCATAAATAAATCGCATTATCGCATGTAAAGAGAGCAACGATATAATAATGTGCCATTCCTTTTTTTCTTACACGTGGCAACTCAGCTCGAATTAGCTCCTCGAATAGTTCCAAGGTTATGTAACAATTAAAAGAATATAATTTGTAAGTTGACATTAATTGCGATACTAAAACATGTTTTTATCGATACAAACAAGTATAATTTTTCCAGAATATTATATCTTGAATAATAAAAATGATGAATTTTACTACAAGATTCACACGTTAGTGTAACGATCAATCTTTAGTTGAAAAGGTTTCCAAAAACCAGACTACAAGGGACGATTAGCGATGTCGTAATGTCCTTATTGCGAATAATTCAAATACAGTTTTCCACATCGTTGTCCTTTTGATCTTTTGTCGTGCATGGATTTTGATGACAGGATTGATGATTTCCTTGCAGAATTTCGTTACAACTGCAAACAAGACGTAGCGATTACATCGAAGAAGAAGACTTTGGATGTCAAAGCTGTGTCGCGGAAAGTACGCCTATCGTGTGTCTTGCAAAAAGTAAAATTTTTGTGAATCGACATTTTCGTGACTCGTTTGGAATACCGTCGAGATAAGTCTCAGCGAAATTTCTTCACGGTTACTTACCACGGTGGCGAACAATTACACTCGCTCTATCGGGTGAAAGACGTACGCTTGGGTTACACGGCATCAAGCACGTTGGATGTTTGGACCCTACGGGAGAATGTCGATTGGACAACCGAGTCAGTCGGGTCATCAGAACGAGAAGCAGTCGAGTGATAGGAACGGTGGTGGTGCGGTGACCAGATACAGCAGAATTTGGATCGTGAGATGCCATTAATGCTGCCGGACTAATGCGGCCCCGCGATGATCGACGGGGACGAAAAGACGGTGGTGGCCCCCAGGTGGAAGAACTATGTAAGAGACGAAGCGCGAAGCGGGGGGGAGGACGAGGTCGTCGTCTCTCCACCGGCGGCAGCGTGGCTCAGGTGCCAGAAGGTGGCAGAAGAGGTTGGCCTTATAGAGGGTTTATAGTTTGCGTAGGATAGACGATGAGCGTCGAGGTCGACACGCTGGAACTCGAGGTCTTCGAGGTGAGTCCTCAACCCCTCTCGAGGATGCGACGAACGGGAGTCGCGCGAAATACACATCCTGAAAAGAAGCGGTTATATTTCCGTTAACAAGGAGATCGTGCTCGAGAAAATACGGAATACTCGACGATTGTATTGCCGAGCGATCACCGGCGAGATTTCAATCCACGTATCTATCCGGACAAAGTAATTGCTTAACATTTCGTTGCCATTTTATGTGATGTTTCCGATTAAAGGAGAAATCTTCTGGGATTTTCCTTTTCATTTAAACAATTTAAAAAACAAGCAGAACATCTTTTTAACATATTATTTTAAACTTTTAAGATTTTTTTATATTAACAGCAACCAATCTTTATTGTTTAAGTTTTTAATTAAATATGATGATGTAAATAGATGACATGACATTTCTCATAAAAACAGATTGTCTTGTGTCTGCAAGTTTATATTAGCAAGCAGGAGTTTACATCTAATTTTGTAGTTACATAATTTAAGTATCTGGCAATAATAACGCACTGCAGCGTAATCACAATTATAATGTTGCCTGTTGTATAACATAATATGCTAAGAAGCTAAGTATAATCTTCAGTAGAGTAATGTAAAAGTTAGATTTTTCAAAAACATTAAAAAATTATTTTTATTGAACATAATTTTTTTCTTTTACAATAACATAATAATATGTATGATTCTGCTTTTTTTACACTGATATCACGCACAAAATATGCGTTTTAATTTCATCCGGTATCGAATCGAAAACAATACTTGGAAGGATAATTTGACTTCCTGAGTACACAACAACGAGACTGAAAAATTACATAATTTTCGATATTATGCAATGGACTTCCGTTCGCTAGCCCGCGTTTTGTTTGACAAGTAATGCGCTTTGAATGTGACTATCGATGCGAATGAGCTATTACCGCGAAGCATATAGATTTGTCAAGTTTTTTTATTAACACAGACGCATTCCTATCCTTATTCATTTTTTATTCCCGTGGCGATTGTATTATTCATACTCGACATTTATATACTTGTCCAGACAGAGAAAAAGCTCTTGAAGATAATTGATTAGTCTTATCATGGCGATATATCTACTCGTAAATATTTTATGGAAATTATGTGCACGCGAATTCACCTAGACGAAGTATAATACTTATATAAAATATAAAGCTAAAATTATATAGACACACTCAAACACACACGTACATTTGTACTTTATAATAAAATAATTTCTTAAATCTATGATCTCTTAGTGAGTGAAACATTTCGATTTCACTGATCGATATTCTCTTGCACTTTCTCGAATGCAAGTTTAATCTTGTTACATGTGGAATTGCCATCGCATGTAACTTAAAACCAGCTTGCGAGAGTAAATCGGAGCATTTGAGCCAGTCGGTCGAAACATTCGTACAGTTTGGTCAAGCGAACTCCATACATATTTTAAATTATTATAGAAAATTTCAATATGATTTCACACAATTAAAATGTAAAATGACGTGAATGCTACAAAGATGGAATAGGATCAAAAAATATATTTCTTATAACTCAAGATATGGAGTAATAAAGAGATGATAATTAGATTATGATTAGATTTTTATTCTTTTAAGATTAGAATTTTTATTTTCTAGAATTATAAAAATATGAAATCTTTTGCTGTTTTGTGCCATTTGCGCTTATATATATATATACTCAGAGAACAATATGTCCGAAATGTGGACATAACATGTCTTTAAGATGTCATGAAGATGTCTTTCACGAACATCATGCCATAAAGATGTCCTCAAGACATTTGTAAAACGTTTAATGTCCCCTTTTTGGACATGCATGTTATTTGAGTATGCATTTTAACTAATGCGTGCATCACAGTACTGATCATCAATATAGACTTTGACATACACTTTCTCGCGCGCGAATAATACAATCGCGTCATCCGTGAAGAGAAAAAAATGCGGCGACATACGGTCGCAGCTTATAACGGCCAATAAAGCTCTTATACGTTCAACTTTATGTTCATCGACGTGCTGAAGCTTTATCGCGAGTACCGGAAAGTCTCTATTCGCTTTGTCCGTGACATGTTTTCACGCACGCATACCGCGCGATCTATACTTGTATGCGTCGCGCTGCTTTTCACGCGTTTTCTAGAACACCCTCGATCTTCGGGATTTATTTTACGCGGCCTACATAAATGATAAATTGCTAGCAAAGTGGAACACACACAGTGCGCAATCGTCCTTCACGAATCAATACACATTTGCAAAATTTCTTTACAATTAACAAAGATCTGATTTCTTTTTTAAAATTTCTGAAAAAGTTTGAAAAAGAGTTTCAGGGTCATTATAATTACACGAACTTTCTTACTTAATATTCATACCAACATAAAATTTTTTGGTCTTTGTGAATATTTTTTTATCAAATAACATTGCAACGGTGTAATTGATCGTTGTGGTAATACGTGGTAAGTTTTTATAATTAAGTTACCTAATAAATTAAATTAAGATAATAATTTATTTAAATTTGTTGTCAGAATTTGGCAATTCCGTGTTAACATACAGCGATCAAGAAATAAGATTTAATCTTATGTCAAAAAAATCGAGAAATCAGAATAATTTTGATATAAACTTCACTTCGACATCTTAATTGACGTTTTATTATTTAACATCTCGCATTGTTTTATTGTACTGATAATGGCCAAGACTTGGTCAAAACGTTTACATTTTTAATTTTAAATATATGACTTTGGCAAAAAATATCTTGCGTATGTGGCTGTATTATGCTCCTTCTTATTTATGTTTTAGAGTTTCAAGGATTTTCTATTTTTTATACTTAATTGTTAGAGCTTTTTTTGAAACACTTGGGCCCGATTTTTCATTATCTGGTTAACTTGTGATTAAGCTTAATGTTTTATCCAATGGGCTTTATTTATGATATCGTCCTAGATGAACCCCATTGGATAAAAACATCAGGTTAAGCCTAACCGCAAGTTAACCAGATGATGAAAAATCGTACCATAAAGTTAGAAATTTATCAATTAAGGTATCCGGAATCTTGTATGACTTAACTAAACTTTGCAATTTTTTCTAATTTTTTTCTATTCAAAATTATTTAAAAATGATGATCAAATTCAAAAGAAGAAACATTTCTGAAAATTAAAAAAATATATAACTTTTTTATAGAAAAATGTCAGAAAAATGAAACATAAAGTGACTTAATGTTGCTTTTATAAGATTATTAAAAAAGATATACTGACATGTAAGAATGCACAAAAAATTGTTTTCCAAACAATTGACTTATTTATTATTGTTTTCAATGTTTAAGCAGGTGAATTAGCAGGTAACTTAGAATTCAAACAGTTTGAAATAACAAAATCCAGATTTGGATAATAAAAAAAAACGTTACAATTGATGCGTGTGATTCAGTATGACCTAGGGATTGACCATATCAAGAGCCACTGGTAGTATCTCGACGCAAACCACGCGTTAGTTCTACTTTGCAAAGTTTTTATCTCTTTAGTTATAAACAAAAATATAAACTAAATACTTTATTATCAATACATATATTACATATATTACATATTAAATACAAAGCTACAATAAAATGTACTACGGACATTAATAATCATCTCTTGATAATTTTGGAAAGTAATTACTACATAACATTTCAATTTTTGATTTGGCAACAAAATGGCAAAATATGTCATCGTGATCACGACGTTCTACATTTTGTTTTACTAACAATAACAGAATGAACAAACAATAAATTAATGCAATTGAGTCAGACGGACAACCTGCATGCATGCTTTATTAATGCTATTTGTTGAATTCACTATATAATTACTCACAAATAGTAAGTAGGTAGGGCATATAAAGTGAGGCCACATAAGTTATATCGAAATTATGAAAATGGCGCTAGCTTTATCAAAATACGAAACAATATTTATGCTTGTGAAGAGTAAATATATCGCAACAGTTTCTTTTTTATTTGAGACGTACGCGTGCAAAATTATTATACCTAAAATTATTCTTATTTTCACATTTGTTATGAAACAAAACGTATATATATGCATTTTGTATATTATTCATGACTTAATTAGCTAAAGTTAATTGATTTAAATCGGTTTAGATCCCCTTTATAAACAATTTTATGCTTTTCACTTTATGCAATCCTCATAAAAATGCAATATCGTGAGATGACATTGAAGTTTCGCGAGGCTTCTCAAAGTGGTCGATTTATTTTTAAGCATTAACAAATAAGATCTGCAGAAGCGGATAATGACACTTATTTTATGATACTTATTTTAATCCTATTTTATGCTTGAAAAATATTAAATTGAACAGTAGAGTCGTCTAGCTAATAACCTGACTATATAGATGGAATGTTTCATGAAATGCCACGATCTATTCTTAACACAAATTTTGAAGAATTTGCTAATTTGGCAATTCTATAGTAACAAAATAAAGTCTGCACATCCTTGGCACTAATCTTCGATTACTTTTAGATTATATTTCTTTATACTTTATTTGATGTTTTCTGACGCGCATCGCGATCAATGAGAATTTTTGCCTTCGTCTATGTAAACAATAAAATGAAAAAGCGCATCTCTCGTACCAAACGGTGTGTCCTCGACCGATCGTTCCTACCTGAACGTCCCTTGAACATGAGTTAAGTAACATAAGCGTTTACATGTCGCGTAACTAAAAGGTAAAGGACTGCGACGGCGAGATCGAGTCGACGGATGCGACGACGCGTCGAGGTATCGCGAGGACAACGACAGTGTCCAGGGGCAGCGAAGCAGGCGGACAGTGCAGGTACTCAATGCAGGAGGCCGAGGAAGACGATGATGGCGGTGGCAACAACCGCAGGAAACGAAAGAAACGACGGAAAACGCAGCGGAACAAGCAGCAGTTGCAATTACAACAACCGCAGGTGGAGGTAACGACTAGCAGCAGTCTACAGCGATCGCACGCGCTCGCTCTCGCTTCGTCGTCCGATGAAGTGGAAGCGGTGGGCGAGTGCTCAAAGAGGGACTCGTCTAGCAGCCTGGGCGGCGGCAGCCGGCACAACACCTTGCGGGAGTCACTGCTGACGGTGCTGGGCAAGCTAGTGATTTGGAAGGGCACTAGATACCGCTCCGCTACCGCCGCGTCGTCCTCCTCGTCGGCGCCACCGAATTCACCACCCGCCACCGAGTGCATTGGTCGTAGCACGTCCTTCTTCTCTAGTGGTGAGTTCCCACGAACGAGATTATGGGATAGTTTTCCATAGGAGTTGCACTGTTGGTTTGAGTCAAAGTTACAGATGGTTGCGATATGCACTTATAGTTGAATCTGCCAAGGCAGATATTCTTAATCACTCATGATACGATTGTCGATATGACAATTTTTTGTTTACTAAAATGCTCAGCGATAATTTTATGATATTTAATAGAGAATACGAATAAATTGATATAGTATCAAAACATACGCTATGTATCTTATTTTGCATTATTGGGAAGAATAAACGCGAGCTTCCTAGTACATAGTCACGATGTAGCATCGATCATGCGCATGTTCCATTTAACTGACATACCGCATTTATGTTTGTCATTTTTTATTTCGACCGAAATCCATCGCAAACAATGCATACACAAACTATGGATACGGCGATCAATATTACTAATTTTAGGCGTAATGCAAATTTCAGCGACTTACATACTTTGTATGACTGACCAAGGCTCCGCATCTTGGACACAATGACTTATTAAATTCCATAAATAAGCAAACGGAGTATCTAACACTCACGTAGTTTTCATGAACACGTGACGGTGGGGTATGCCTACTACGCAAGGATCGATTCGATCGTTTTCCGTGGTAATGCCAATATTGGACTTCGCCACAATTCACATGACGAGCCAATTAATATTAAAAGTTTATCCAGTTATGTGGAACTGCTGCAACATACACACACACACACGCGCGCGCGCGCGCATGCGTGTGGCGTGTGTACAGGATGTCTCATTTTGAACGACGATCTCAAATTTCTCTTGAGTAATCTATTTTAGAAAAAAATATGTTTCAGACAAAAGTTTTACTTCGAGGAGGGCATAAGATGGTATTATTGGTTTGTCCTTAGATGGCGTCATCAAGATTAGGTCAAGATCACATCGATTTTTTTTTTTTAATGGAACACTACTATTGATTCCAGAATCTAATAGCTGGTATCCAGAATTTTCCAAAACGCTATAAGAAAATATTTTTTATTAAGTACTTTTTGGATTATGATGCTTGAAGATTACAGTACTGCACCTCTGTGAAGCTGGCCCCATTTTTTCCAAAAATTGAAAAAATAAGAATTCTGATTGCTCCCCCCCCCCTTCCCTCCCCAATAGTTCTAGATTTCTCTATCAATTTTAGAAATAGTTCCATCGATTAGGGATGTAAAAATACCATTTGAAGTATCGGGGGGGGGGGCGCCAACTTCACGATTCTGAAACTTTGAAGGGCTGTAATTTCTTAACAGTTTATTTTAGCACTTTCATCCATATAAGACAATCGATAGAACTCTTTGAGAGGCAAACAGAACTCTCAAGAAAATAACAGATGTCCGAAAAAAAATTTTTTTTTAATTTTTTTTAGATTTTCATTCTGTAATGAATTCTGATAGCCCCCCCCCCCCCCAAAGAGTTCTAACGATTAATAATGAAACGGCTGAGATTGCAAACAAAAAAGTTTTAGCGTCTTGAAATAGAAAAATTCAAAAGTTGAAATTTCAAAGCCTTAAAACTTTTAAGATATTAATTTCAGCGCATTGGTTATTAAGGATAATCGTTAGAATTCTTGGGGGGCAACCAGAATTCTAAAGAAAATACCTAAATATCTAAAAAGGCTTTGAAGTTTCAACTTTTGAAATTTTTTATTTCAAGGCACTAGAACTTTTTTGTTTGCGATCTCAGCTGTTTCATTATTAAGGATAATCGTTAGAACTCTTTGGAGGGCTACCAGAACTCATTACAGAATGTCGAAAATCTAAAAAAAAAATTTTTTTTAATTTTTTTTGAAAATTTTTTTCGGAAATCGGTTATTTTCTTGAGAGTTCTGTTTGCCTCCCAAAGAGTTCTATCGATTGTTTTATATGGATGAAAGTACTAAAATGAACCGTTAAAATATTATAGCCCTTCAAAGTTTCGGAATCGTGAAGTTGATCCCCCCCCTCCCCCCCGATAGTTCAAATGGTGTTTTCACCCCCTTAATCGGCGGAACTATTTCTAAAATTGATAGAAAATTCTAGAAGGGGGAGGGGGAGAGCAACCAGAACTCTCAAGAAAATAATTTTTGAAAAAAGTGAGGCCAGCTTCACAAGAGATCAATATTGCCAACATTAGCATTCCGTAAGGTTGCTAAGTTAGCCATCGGTCGGACACCTTGCGTAATGCTAATGCCGGCGGTACTGTAACATTCAAACATTATAATTCAAAAAGTACTTAATGAAAAAATATTTTTTTTATAGCGTTTTGAAAAGCTCTCAACATCAGCTATTAGATTCTGGAATCAAAAGTAGGGTGTTCCATTTTAAAAAATCAATGTAACCTTGACCTAACCTTGGCAACGCCATCCAAGATCAAACTAATAAGATCAGTAAATAGATCTTTTTGAATCCTACGAATTTTATCTGAAACATTTTTCTGTAAAACTTATATTTTCTGAGATATTCAAGTATCCCAATCTTTTTGGGACACCCTGTGTATACAGAATGTTTTCCAGAAAATTCAACCAACAATGCTCGTGGGCAGGTAGAGCGAACTAAACTGCGTCGAAAAGTCCTCTACCATTTTGCAATTTTCGCAATAGTTAACAAAATGTTATTTATTAAATATCACTGAATATTGATTTTCACAGGTTTACCATAGAGCGAGAAAACCGGGAAAAGTCAAGGAAATTAGTCATGGAAACTGGAAAAAGTCAGGAGAAAATGTAAAAAAAATCTGGAATTTCGAAATTGCTCACAATTTCCTGAAACTACTATTTCAAATAATTGTTATAATTTTTTTAATATTATATCTGACATTTATAGTCAAATTTAAAACTTGTGCACTTTAAACGATTTTTATAAAATAATTAAAATTTATATTTTATTTAGTATTTTTATTTGATCCCTTCTTTTTTATCTGCATACTTTTTTCTAAAACTAATTAATTTTTTGCTGGAATTTGCACTTAAAAGGGTCCTATGCTATTAAATTTTTTTTTCTGTTATTTTTAATATAATAATATAGACTAGCTTTCCTACAATCCTTAGTCTAAATGGGAAATTTTCCATGAGCAATATAAAATACGTAAATTTTCATCTGGAAAACCTGAAAAAGTCAGAGAATTTTTAAATTCATTTTCTATGGCAACTCTGTTAATAATTTTTTACTCAAATACTATCTACTTTACAAAAAAAGCGAGAGGCAAATATTGTTTATTTCCTTTTCATAGAGCTCTGAAAATTTTTTCAGAAGTTTTTAATACCGTATTTTCTTATGTTGATAAAAATTGTTGCCAATAAGAAAATGCAGTACTAAAAAGTTGATAAAAAATTCTAAAAAAGTTTTTAGAAGTCTATGAGAAGAACATAAACAATTTTTCTTTCTTGCAGTTTTTCTGTAAATAGTATTTGAGGAAAAAAATTATTGAAGACAAATATTCGGCAATTTTTAGTAATTAATATCTTGTTAATTATTGCGAAAATTTCAAAATGATAGAGGACTTTTTGACACAGTTTAATCCGCTCTAACTGCCCACAACAACGGAGATATTTTTAATTAATCATTTAAAATATCTCCGTTGTTTTTAATGATACAGGAAAATATTACAGGGATAAGTTATTCGATTAGAAGGGACACATATGATGAGAAAAAAATTTTTCTCAAGGTCATAGTTTTCGAAAATTCAAGGATACGATTTTTATAACTGGAATAGCATATTTTCATTAATGTAGTACAGTTCATAAAAAAACAAATTCAATCATACTCGTATATCATGTGTTGTCCTTCAGATGACTTTGGAAAAAAATCACATTTATGTGGAAAAAAGGAGAGTTAACATACTTAAGTGTTTTCAATGAAGATATTTATTTACTTTAGATGTTCGAAATAATTGCCATTAACTTTCATACATTTTCAAATGCGATAAATAAATGATTGTTTCGCATTTTTAATGATTTCCGCTTGATTCTGATTGATGTCGATACATAATGATGTGTTCCTTCTAATCGAACAACTTTTCCCTGTAGTATTTTCCCATATCATCAAAAACAACGAAGATATTTTAAATGATCAAGTTAGAGGAAACACTGTATATATATTATATATATATATATATA